ATTTTATTTTTAAAATTTTTTTAAGAGACGGGGTCTTCCTATGTTGCCCCAGCTGGCCTGGAGCTCCTGGGTTGAAGCAATCCCTCCACCTCAGCTTCCTGAGGAGCTGGGACTGCAGGTGTGCGCCACTGCACCCAGCTGTGGCGGCTCTTACCGTGTTCCTCTCCAGAAACACGTTCAAACCATTGCTGAGTGGGAAGGGCAAGAGAAGGGGTTTAATTCTGTGTCTCTCTCCACTATAAATTTAACTATATATTATCTCAGAGAATAAACAACGTTAATGAACCATCAAAACTAACTGTGAACCTCATTAAAATGCATATTCCCAGGTCCCTCCTGGGAGATTCTGATCCTGTTGGTTTGGAGTTCAGCCCAGGCAATCTGTATTTTTAACAAGCGTCTTCGGTGATTGTGACAATGAGCCAAGGTTGGGAGGCCTGGTATCATTACCTCCCTTATGCCCACAGCAACCTGGCTTATTTTGCAGATGAGAAAACTGAGGTTCAGAGAAGAATTAACTTGCCCAAAGTCACAGTCAGACTGACTTCCTCCAGAGCCTATCATCCCTGTTAACGAAATACCAGACATCACATTTGTTGGCACAAGCCTGCAAAGTAGAGCCCCCCTGCAGGCAGGGCTGCAAACTCTGACAACAGGGCCTTGGCCAACAGCCCGCATTCCTTTCCCTGTTCCCGCTGGAGGCAGCGCCAAGGTCTGTGGCAGTAGTTTCCTCGCTGCCACAGCAAAGCACTACAGGCTGGGTGGCTTAAAACCCAGGAGAAAAGAAAGTATTTTCTCACAGTTCTGGAGACTAGAAGTCTGAAATCAAGGCCGGGCAAGGTGGTGCTGTCTCTAAGACCCAAGTGAAGTGTCCGTTCTATGCCTCTTTCGCAGCTTCTGCCGTTTGCAACCGGCGTTCCCTGGCGTACAGCTGCATAACTCCAATCTCTGCCTCCATCTTTACGTGGCATTCTTCCCTCTGCATAATCTCTGTCTCTTCTCTTTCATCTTATAATGACCCCACGTTGAATTAAGTCATATTAGATTAAGGGACCACCCTACTTCATATGACCTCATCTTAATTTCTTAATTTACAACTTTATTAAATCTGCAAAGATCCTATTTTCAAATAAGGTCGCATTCACAGGTACCAGGGCTTAGGACTTCAACATAGCTTTTGGGAGGTAGGACACAATTCAACTCACAGCACGCATAATAATCAGGTGTCAGAAGTAACACCAGAATCCTCAAGCTGGATAGACAAACCTAATCACCACCGTGGTGACCACAGGCCTAGATGGGATGAGCTATGGTGGGGTTGAGGGCAGCTTTGTCCATTGTATATGGCGCTGGACATCAGAAGGGTTCACAAACCTGGCTCAGCAAGTCTTTTTTTCCCTAGAGATAGGGTCTCGCTCTGTCACCAAGGCTGGAGTGCAGCAGTGTGATCATAATTCATTGTAACCTCAAACTCCTGGACTCAAGCAATCCTCCTACCTCAGCCTCCTGAGTAGCTGGCACTACAGGTATGAGCTACCTCATCTGGCTAATCTTTTTATTTTTTGAAGAGATGAGGGTCTTGTGAGCTTGTTATGTTGCTTAGTCTGGCCTTGAACTCCTGGCCTCAAGTAATCCTGCCATCTTGGCCTCCCAAAATGCTGGGATTACAGGCGTGAGCCACCACATCTGGCCTCAGCAAGTCTTCATTCAATCAATAACTCTTTAACAGCTTCTCATGTGTCAGGAGCTGGGCAGGGAGCAAGGCAGGTAGGATTCATTCAATCATGGGCTCATGGTTTAGTAGGGTGACTGACAGACTGTCAGCCAAAGGATGGAACTAATGAAGGCACAATTACAAACCAGTATCTGTGCTCTGAGAGGAAGAAATTTGATGTCACTGAGGAGACCCTCCTGTGGCTGCATTTCCCCTTCCTTTCACATTTTTCCCACTGTTTCTCATGCTACCTTGTCTAAGAATATGGGTGAATTTTCCTTCCTTTCTTCCTCCCTGCTTCTTTAATTACCACTCTCTTGGAGGCCTGCAGATGTTGAGGGGACTAGAGCATCCCTAGTGGCCAGTGTGGGCAGAGCAATGACCAAAACTGCTGAACTAATGGGCCTGGGAGAAGGAGGGCGAGGGTGGCAGGATGAGTGTGTGTCTGGCCCAGGTCTTCCCCCAACTGTGCAGTGAATACACCCTAGCAGATTCATGGCCCGTGGACAACAGCTCCTAAAGCTTTCACCAATTTGAAGCTGCAGACCCCTGCCCCCCAGCAAAAAAAAAAAAAAAAAACAAAAAGCAAAAAAAAAAAAAAAAAATCCCTCCATGTTTGGTCCTGACACAGCATGTCCCCCAGGATGCCAGAAAAACAGACCAAGTCTTGGCTAGGGCTAAGGTTAACACTTAAGGAGAATCCCTCCCCATTCCTGGCTGTAATTGTGTGAAATTCTACCTAGCCTGAGTAGCTTTCAAATCTGTCCCCATCTCCTTCCACATTGCCACCCTCTCATCTTTTACCTCCCTGTAGCCTCCAGGGCCTAGGCAGGCCCCTTCCAATCCACCTCCCACTGCACAGGTGTCAGAGGGACCCAGCGCAAACACCAGTCAGACCAGGGCCCGGGGCACTCACTGACTTCCCTCGGCCCCCTCACTTCCCTGTGGCCTGGCTCCCCGAGCACTCCAGTCCACCTGCCTCTCTACATGCTACCTTCTGCCACCTACTCGATCCTTCGCACACCAAACCATACACAGCACCTCTCTGTGCTGTGTCCTGCCCAGTCCCAGCCAGCTGGCTCACTCCTTCTGATGCTTGAAGAACCAGCTCCATCAGCACCTCCAGGTGAGCTAAGTGTCCCTTAACTCAGAGCTCCCACCTTCTCCTATTACCATAACATTGTACTATAACTTTTTACTTTTCTTTCTCCCTACTAGACTTGACCGTCATTGAGGCAGGAACAAATATCTGATTATTCTGTGATTCTACACCCCAGTCCCACCCCACCTAGACTGGGACCTGGCACAACAACACCAAACGTTTGCTTGTTGAGTGGGTGAAGGCCCACCACCCATCTGACCATGAGCTTGGCCTTGCATTATATACTTTTATGTGCCCAGGTGGATTTTGATTTTGTGACCTGACAGTTTTTTGGGTGTGAGGCTTCACTGCCACTCCTAGCCTGGAAGTGTCCCAAGGCAAAGCTGAGGCAAGCACCAGGCTGGGCTCAGGAAGCTCCTGGGTAGAAGCCACTATTGGGAAGATGGAGTCTTACAGGGGCTCTCCCATTCTGCCACCAGTCGGCTCCTGAAGTGGGCCCTGTTTCTGAAGTGCTCCCCAGCCACCCTCTCCCCTTATTCTAGGACTTCTCATGCTTCCATTTCAGCCTCGGTTGTGGGGAGGGGGTAGAGAACATCTGTCACCTTCCTTTGGAACCTGCCTAGGTCAGCAGGACCCGAGGATCAGTGAGACGGAGGTGCAGTGCTCATGGGTGCTGGGTTCCATTGGTAAGAGAGCACACCTATCTAAACCAAACATGTTGGGATGGGGTGGGGGGTGCAAAAAAGAATCATTTCGTGACTTGTTTTCTGGCATGGGGTAGGTTAAGGCTCTGAAGCTGGGGAAACAACATGTCCTCTCTTCCCCACCCTCCAGGATGAGTTTCTAGGCTGGAAGGGAACCTTCTAGACCTATCAAAAGAGAAAGCTCCTGCAGCCTTACCTCCCTGACAAGACCAGCAGCCTCTGCCTCCATGTCCTGGTAACCTGACGATGGGTCCTTTAGGCCACTACTGGTCTTGGACAGTTGGCCCCTTTCCAGACCGAGACCCATTTCCCTTAATCTTCTCCCATGCAGGACCTCCTCCTAGTTTTATCACTTACTTTAGATGCCAGAGCCCAGGAGCAGCCCAGCCCATTTTAGTTGTCAGGACAGTTTACATTCTTTCCAGGCTTCTTGGACCACCCAGAGAAGTCAGACAAGCACACACAAACCCTTTGGCCCCCTCCAGGTCCTCAAGAACAGGAAATTGGGGAGGACAACCAGTGACAAAGTCTAGATGACAGGGGCCACTGATCCAAAGCTCCAGCAGGGAGACTGAGGGAAAGAGGGACTCCCCTTGAAAGCCCCTCCCATGAGCTGCAAAACCTACCTCTTGGCAGCAGCAGAATTGTTTCCAGGTTCTGCCAGCAAAATGACTTACACTCTTCCTTATCTCTTCCTTCCCAGAAGTGCTGCTGAGTGGCATGTGGGGCCTGCATCTGAGAACTGGGCTAAACGCCCTCCCGTACTCGCCAGAGCTCTTCCAGCACACAGCACCACCCCGCCCCTCAGCTGACTTAGAGGTGGGCAGAGAGGCTTAGGAGGCCGCTATCTCTCAACAGACAGCTGCGCAGGGCTGGAGGCAACAGCTTATCTGGGAGCCTGCAGTGATTCACAGCCCAAGTCCCAGCTGCTCTGCTGAATAGTAATTTCCAGCAGTGGATCTGTGCTCAGTCTCTCTCCTCCCCCTCTCCCAAGGGTGTGTTGTCCTTTCTCAGAGAGAGGGCAGTGAAGGGGAGAGCCTACCCATGAGGATGGGGACTTTGTGCCAGCCTTCTGGGTAAGGCTCACTCTACTGTCTGAAGGCTGCAGGTTCAGGAACCTCAGCAAGGTCTGCCATCCTTGGCAGTGACCTCCAGGAGACTTCATCAATGCTCTCCTTCCTTCCCCTCCCAGAAAAGCAACGGCACTGCTCGCTTTCCCTCAGTGGTGATGCACAGGGTGACACGGGCCCCCTTCACAAGCCCCTGAGGCCAGGGCCAGCCACGAAGGGTGGTGGAGAGAGGGAGAAGCCAGGGTCTGGGCAGTGTGCCCCTTGTGCTGTTTTGAAGCTGCCCAATCTGCGCCTGACCCTGAAGACTCCAAAGGCAAAGGATGCAAGCTGGAGGAGACTGAGATAAAAGGGGGCAGGCCAGAGCTGTCTCTGCACATGCCGGTGGTTAGGAAAAAACCTGGGGACAGAGCCTTTTTTGTGTTTGTTTTATTGGAAGCAAGACTCCAGCTGTGGAGCTTGGGGGACGAAGCATGGAGAACGCTGTCCTGGGCCTCTTCCTCTGGGCCAGCATAGGGAGGGCAGATGCCTCTGCCCCCGCAATCTCAGGGTGCTCCTCAGAGGCGGGGGAAGGAAAGCTAGAAGGGAGACTGTCCCAGGGTTGGGGACAGAATAGGGCCCCCACATCTCAGACTAGCCCACCCTCAGCAGTCAATTTCTCACCCCTTGTCCTCTCTCAGTAGCGTGGTGATTCCAAGGGTTCTCTTGCACTTCCAGGGTCCAGGTCCCCGTCATGATCCAGGCCGAATGAGGGGAGGGTGGGTGCCTTTAACCCTCAAGGGCCCCAAACACGGTTCCAAGAGCCCAGCTGTCCACCTTCCCCTTCCAGAAAAAGGTCCCAGGATGGCCCAGAAACGGTGGAGTTCCACGTCTTCAGGCAACACAGCCATAGGAGCCACCATCTCACCAACCTTCCCTGGCGTCGTCGGGGATCCTCTACTGCCACTCCTGGGGCCCTTCTCCTGTCACCTTGGGGTTCATGCTACCTGTTTGAGGCGCTGTGTCCAGGCTGTGGGATTCAGAGGACCCACTCGTGAAAGGTGGAGGTGCCGGGAGATGTCTTAATGACCCCCAAGACCGGAGTCTGGAGTTCTCAGGCTGTCCGGTCTTAGGCCACAGGCCCTGGCTCAGGCTGCGACCGCTTCGCGGAGCCTTCTCCAGCTCCAGGTTCCCCTAGGCTCCTCTTGGACGTTGGCGCAGTTGACGGGGACGAGGGACCAGGATGGGGGTTTGGGGGCTGGTAGCCAGGTTGTCGTGGATCCAGTTCGTCCTTGGAAAGTAGGATGGCAAGGCCGGGCACGTTCTTAAGTACACTGAGGCTGGCAGCCGGCTCACCAGGCGTTTGACCCGGCGTGGACCCAGGCGGGAGGCTCTGCCACACCTCGCGCACGCTCCGGTAGCGCAGCCGCGTGACCTGGTGCAGGCCCGCCAGGCGGCGCTTGAGGATCTCGGCGCACGTGACGGTTTTGGTGGTGGCCCGGCCGCAGCCGCTGAAGACGATGGCGCGCGTGGCTGGCTGCGCCATGCTGGCCGTGGCGAAGGCCATCAGGTTCCGGATCTTGCTGCCCTCCTTGACCCGCATGTGCACAGCACCCGGCGCCAGGTCGGCGAAGGGGCCAGAGCCCGAGCCGTCCCCCTCGGCCCCGCCCCCCGCCGGCGCCTCCTCTGAGCGCACCTTACGGAAGTTCTCCATGCGCCGTCGTCGCCCGGACCGCTGGCTTTGGCCATGGGGCCGCCTCAGCCCCGCGGCTGCATGGCCACCGGTCGCGCCCTGCAGAGGCCAGAGGGGTAAGGGTGCGGGAGCGGCGTGCACGCTGGCGGGCGGGCTGGGACGGCGCGATCCCCGCCCCACTTCTCTCGAGTGGGCGCCGCGCGACTCCGCGCTCTCGGCGCCGGGTGCTCGGCGCCTTCAGCCGAGGCCCCGCCCGGGAGCCCGGAGGCCCCGCCCCCGTCCCAGCCTCTCCGGCCTCTCGCGTCAAGTCCCGGTCCTCAGCTGCCCCGCGTGGGGCCGTCGCGCGCGGCGGGGCGCGTTGGCAGTGCCGGGGTGGTTCGGAAGGTGAAGTTCCACTGTAATCGTCAGCGGCCCTCCCCGAGGCAACCTCGTAAACGGCAACCTAAGTGTAAACTGCGCTTGGGGTGCAAGCGCCGCGTCAAGCCAGGTCCCCAAACCCTTCCCGGTTCCAGCTGAAGGCCGCCCCTGGTCCCCTCCCGGGGAGAGGTTTCCGAGAGGCTTGCTGGGGCCCCGCGCCCCATCCCCTCAAGAGAGCACCCCCTCCGTTCCGCTCCTCAGTGTTCTCGCCTCAAGGACAGCCAGTGCTCGGTCAGCAGAGTGCGGGAGGCGCTGGCTCCGGCTCCACTCCGCGCTCCTCCTCGGACGCCAGCGTCGCGGCGTGTCCTCGCAGTGCTCCAGAGACCCAGGTTTCAGCCTTGCCACGCCTGTCGAGAGCGCGAGGCTCCCGGACCCCCGTGCGCCCCTGGGATCCGGGGGACGAGGCTTAGGGCCAGACTACCCGGAGGCGGACGGGGAAGCGCACGGTACCTCTTTGCCGGAGGCGTTACGCTCCCGCCACCCGGGCCTGGAAGCCCGCGGTTAGAGCTGCGAGCTTTAGGGTAAGAGGGCGTGGTTCCCTGCTAACGTGGACCCCCTCCTCCCAGCTCGAATTCTGTCAACCTTGGCCCCTTGAGACCCAGTGGGGTCCTTTTTCAAAAAGGAGACTGGGCGAAGGCAGGTTGAAAGGGAGGGAGGGAGGGAGGTGGGGAGTTGAGCCTTGGGGGTTACGAAGCTACGGGATGCCCCCCTTCGGAAACGCATCGCGGCGGAGGGTGGCGGGGGTCTCCTGCCGGGTTAGAGGAGCAGCAGAGAAAGAGATGAGGTTGGGGCTGAAGGACTTTCGATGAAAGGGAGGGGCTTGAGAGAAGCCGGAGCCTCCCTACAACTGCCCTCGGGCCTCGCCCCTCAGCCTTTCGCGCCCCTCGCGCGCAGTCCGAGCGGAGGGAGTGGGCGGGTCTGGTGGGGGCGCGGGTGATTGCAACGGCGTGTGACGGGGAGGCCACGCAGAGCTGGGGCGATCTGGCCCCAGTCTCAGGTGGGGCTGCCAGGCACACTTCTCCCTCCTCACAGCTGACTCGCCTCCCCGCCACCCGCGACAGCGCTCGGCCCCTGCTGTCCAGAACCGGGGCTTGCCATTTACCACCCCTTGGCGTGGAGCTGTGCCCCCTGCCGGGACACCCTGGGGCATGCTCGGAACCCGGATTAGGCCGGTCCCGGCGGTCTCCTGGAGGACCTGCCTGGGTGCGGGAGGCCAGCGGCCTGGAGAAGACACAGACTGCCTGCTGCGCGCGGCGGCGCGGGACGCCGAGGGCTGCGTGAGGCCAGGTCCTGGCGGCACGTAGGGGCGGCCGTTTCGGCGGGGCGGGAGAAAAAGCCCCCGAAAAGCTGGAAACCACGTTGGGACGGGCCGGGGGGGAAGGAGCGAGCTTCCGGCCTCCGGGGTACGCAGGCCTGTGCTGAACGCCTACTCGGAAGGGACTGTTAGGCCCGGGTCTGTAATTTGGAGGAAGGGGCCTGGGAGCGTCAAGGCTTTGTCGGGTGCGGACGGGGCGGTTCCGCCCGCACAGGCTGGCCCCGAGGCCGCCGTCGCCCCCGCCCTCCGCTACCGTCCGCTGTCTGAGGCTCGCGTTCGCCTTGCTCCTCGCGGGGAGAAGGGAGGGCGCGGGAAAGCCCACCGCTCCCGCCGGCCCCTCCCCCGCTCCCTCCGCAGCACTTAAAATGTAAATGTACTTAGCGATTAGCCGCGGGGTCGCTAATTACAGCTGAAGCCATCCTTCACGCTGTCAGCGCGCGTCGCAGCCCGCTGGCTGCGGCTCCATCCCGGCGCGGAGGGCGCGGGAGGACGGGGGACTGGGAGTTAGGGTGACAGCGAGCCTGAGGAAGCGGGGTGGGAGAGAGGGGCAGCGGGGTGGGTGACCGGGGCAGAGGAGAGACGCGAAGGCGGGAAGGGATGGGGCGTGGAGAAGTAGTGGGGGCGGGGCGAAGAGCGAAAACGCCGAATCCGGGCAGGCAGCAGAGCCCAGGTGGGGCGTGGAGGGCTCACCTCAAGGAAGGAATAAACGTATGCACGTGTGGTGCACACCACGCAGTGGTTAGAAGCGAGGAACGACATTCAAGATGTGTGAAAAGAGCTGGGTGCCAGCCACACACACAAGAGGACTCCGAGTATTTTTTTTAAAGCGATCTATTTCTGTATGTATGTATTTGTGATGTAAATGTATTTTAAAAATATTTCCAAGAAAACAGCACACTGACATGTTACCGCTGTGGCTGCATCCAGTGTTCATTGCCTTCTTTAAGAAAAGGACTACTAAATATGAATACAAGTATTAAACAGTCTTAACAGCCTGTATGAATGAGGTACTGAGTCTGAAGCCTAAGCTTCATTAACTTTCGTGTGACCTTAGACGATTTCCTTAACCCCTTTGCCTTGGTGTGGTCATGTGTAAAATGTAACTAATTATAGTAATCAGCCTGGTAGAGTGGTTGTGAGACACATAACAGTCTTAGAATTTTGGCCACTAAGTTCTCAGGAAATGCTGGCTGTTAGGATTTTTCACATCACTTGTAATTAAAATAAATTTTAAAAATTTCAAAAGGGAGATTGGGGGAAAGAAAGCTGGTGGAAAGGAAAAGAAACGGGGGAAGCCTTGGAAACAGCAGTTTTCCTAGTCGGTTAGGAACTGGGGAGTGGCAAATTAGACTCCTGTCACCCTGGGAGGAGGCTTGTGGGGAGGCCTAGCCAAGGCTGTGCCGGCTCCTGCTCTGTAAAGGCTCTTCGAGACCTTTTCCAGCCGCACAGCCTACGTGGGGTGGACACATCTCTCACCCTAGGCTGGAAGGAGATCCCTGGCGCAGCCCCTCTCCTCTGCCTCCTGTGGCAGGAGGAGGACTAGAGCTCCTCAGGGCCTTGGTCCTAGCCCCAGCCTCCCGGGCAGAGGCTTGGGAGCATGCAAGTGGAATTGGGAATCAAGAAGTCAAAGGGGCCAGAGAGAACTGATTTATCAGGGACCATTGGGCCAGGTGCTCTCACAGATCTGTTCTCTCATTTAATCCCCACACTCTTGTTTTCCAAGACACTACCATCACTGTTTGACAGATGTGGAAACTGAGGCCCAGAGAGAGTAAGTAACTTTCCCTATGTACCACAGCTAGAAAGCAGCAACCGAAGATATTTGAACCCAGGTACTCTGACGCGCTTTGCTATCTCAGCTGAATATAAGAGAAAAAGAAACTTTTAAATGGCTTGAGCTATGTAGTAAAAGGTATGGATTGGCTCTGGGAGGAGAGGGATTTCCACGGTGAGAAAGATGTATTGGTTGGTTATCTATTGCTGTGTAAAAAATTGCCCCACAAGTTAGTAGCTTAAAACAACAAGCAGGCCAGTCCCAGTGGTTTACACCTGTAATCCTAGCACTCTGGGAGGCTGGATGAGGTGGAAGGATCACTTGAGCTCAGGAGTTTGAGACGAGCATGAGAAATAGGGAGAGCCTGTCTCTACTAAAAACAGAAAAGTTAGCTGAGCACACTAAAAAAAATTAGTATTGTGGCATGTGCCTGTAGTCCCAGCTACTCAGGAGGCTGCTTGAGCCCAGGAGTTTGAGGCTGCAGTGAGCTACGATGATGCCACTGCACTCTATCCAGGTTGACAGAGTTAGACTCTGTCTAAAAATAAAAGCCACCAGCAACAAACATTATCTCACACAATTTCTGAAGGTCAGAAATCCAAGAATAGCTTAAAGAGGTCTCATCTACCTCTGGATCTCTCATGGGGCTGCAGTGCAGTGACCACGTTGCCTGGACATGGGGGACCGACTCCCAAGCTTACTCACAGGTCTGTTGGTCAGAGGCCTCAGTTCCTGCACTGGTCTCACCACGACCTAGCAGCTGGCTTCCCCTAGAGCAAGTGATCAGAGAGAGAAAGAAAAGCAGGAAGCTGCAGTGCCTTTTACTGCCCAGCCTCCGTTAAAATCGCACAATTCTATTCCAGTTTCTATTATCGTATTAGTTGGAAGAGAGCCCAACTCACATTCAAGTGGAGGGGAATTAGGCTCCACTTCTTGAAGAGAGGGGTATCAAGGAATTTGTAGGCATTTCAAAACCACAACAAAAGAAGAATATTTGGGAGGCAAATCTAGGAGGAGAGGGAAGCTGCAATCAACATACGGAAGCAAATATGTGGAAAGAGCACTGGGCTTGAATCGGGAGAGCTGGATTTATTTCCTGGTATACAACAAGCACTTAATAAATGTTTGTTAAATGAATGCATAAGTGATAACTTCTCTGAGATTGTTCTGATGGACATAAGAGCAGTCACCACTTCGGAGCTCTCCTGAGAGTTGAGTGGGATTATGGGTATCAGAGCTCTTGGTAAATTTCACAGTGTGAGGAGGCACGGATGCCTGGCGAGGGGAAGAGCTCTGCCATGTGGGAGTCCCTGCCCAAGCCAGCAGCTGTCTGTCAGACTGAGTCCCAGGCCCTGGGGCAGTACCCTGACTCCAGCTCCTATCTTGCCGCAGCTTGCTCTCTCAGCCGCAGTCCAGCCTCCCCACCTTGTGTCACCTCTAGTCATTGCTCCTCTCCTAGAGCCAGTCAGGACAGGACCCAGGAGCCTTACCACCAGCCAAGCCTCTCACCACTCTTCCTCCTGGGCTGGCTCTGGCCCCGCAGATGGGAAATGGGGGTTTGCACTGCAGAGCCAGTGAGCAGTGCCATTTGAGGACAAGAGCCATTAATCTTGCATGAAATTCAATTACTTTCCTAGCAGACAGGCCAAGTCACCTGAATCCTGGGAGGGAGAGGGGACATTTGGGGCCTAGAATGAATGAGGACAGGGGTCTGTGGGAGGGGGGAGGAGAG